AGAGCTGGCACGGGGGTGGAACTCGAACACAGAACGTTAACATTAGTTCTCTCTAAGCTTTGAGAGTAGGGGCGAGTTCTAGTCCTTGGTGCTTTCCCGTTTTCCGCGTCAAGCATACTTCACTTTTCGATTTAGGGACAGAAGACCTCATAAATGTAATAAGAGTAATATAAAACTTTCAACACACAATGTGCAACATCTTCGATGCTCTACAGAAACTTTGTGGTTCCCATCAGGAGTCCCAAAGGGCTGAATTCCATTCTCGATCGGATAAGAAAACTAAAATGTTCACCCCCACCCTCCTATTTACAAGAGCCCAGTGAAAACCGGAGGGAGGAGAGGGGCTTCTGGAAGTCCTCACGCCCAGCCTCGGTCTGGCCCACCTGCATTTCCGATGGGTCCTCTTTCCAGGAGGCCCATCGTCCAGGAACCCCAAATTTGTTTCCGAGCAGATCTCTTTTGCCAGGTGGTACTTTGTTTGGGAAATAAGCAGGGAATGGAAAGAGGTTTTATCCCACTTATAATTTGAAAAACAAAACAAAACGCCAGCCACCGTTTGCAACCGATCGCCACAGCCCTGCCATCACCAGAGCTGGTAACTCCAATGACCTCCTGACATCCCCTGTCCAACCAATGTCACCCGACTGCAGTCACATGGGGCTGTTTACCTTCACTTAAAGAAAAATGCTGGTAGTAAGCCAGAAAAATTACCATATTCACCGTCTTTCTGCTTCAAAGAAGGTTTCAGATTAGCAACGGCTGGATCGATCGCTGTGAGTATGTTCTTGGGAACTAAAAACCAAAAAGAAATATCTTAATTCAGGGATGCTTGGGTCGTCAGTTGGTTAAGCATCCGACTTCAGCTCGGGTCATGATCTCACAGTTTATGAGTTGGAGCCCCGCGTCGGGCTCTGTGCTGACAGCTCAGAGCCTGGAGCCGGCTTCCGATTCTGTGTCTCCCTCTCTCTCTGCCTCTCCCCTGCTCGTGCTCTCTCTCTCTCTCTCTCTCTCAGTCTCTCTCAAAAATAAACGAAACATTTTTTTAAAAAGTTTTAAAAAACTGCAGTTCGGTGCTGGTTGTGCATTTCTGTCAATTTCCTAGAACGCACTGAACTGTTTTTACTTAAAACGGGTGAATCTTAAGGTTTGTAAATGACACCTCAATAACTAACGCTGTTAACTCTGAACGCGAACTTCTCGGAGATTCAGTGAAACAAGATGACTGTAATCAGCCCGGAATCCACCACAGAGCTCTCCCAGCTCCTCCTCTGCTTTTCATCCACGGCTCTCCGTCCTCACTCGCTTCCTTAATAAGCCTGAAAGAGAATTCTAAGACCGCATGCTAGAATGATCCTCTAAGTACTATAAGGACAATAGACAAATGAGAGGGGGCAGCAAAACAGACTGTTTTGGAAGTGGATTAAAGATTCTGCAGAACTGACCCTAAGAATAAACCATCCGATCTCAAGATGCCCTGGGGCAAAGCAGACAGGACTGCAGCGTGAGCGAGAGCAGAGGGCAGAACAAGACTTCTGAAGGCGAAGTGCACCACAGCCAGCTAGGAGAAGCGAGAGGAAACCAAATATTTTTCCTGCAGAAAATTGCTTATTTTTGTTTGTTCGTTAGCCCAGCTGGTATCTGGGAGAAGTGGCAACAGGAAACAGGAGTGAGCCAACGTAAACCGTCCAAGTTCAACTGCACTGATTTTTAAAAAAGAGCTGGGAAGACATCTTCAGCAGCAAGAAAAGCTCATTTCCTTTCTCAAAGTGCTTAACTAAATTCTTTTAGGGATGTCCCAGGACCAACAACCAGAGAACATTCCTAAATTGTGGATTTTCCGTGCGCAGGAGACCCTGGTGCCTTCGTGCCCATCGGCAGGGACGGTCACATCTAGGTGACGATGACAGGAGGCGGCGGAAGCTGTCCAGGGCCCCCCAGGAATGCCCTTCGGCTGACCACGGCCATACCGCTGACCCAGGGACCAGGGCAGCGCCCCAGAGAACCGAACCGGGTTGCCACAAAATGCTTTCTGACGAAATAGCCTCTGCAGCCTGAGAAGGACGCCCCTGATTCCCTGGCAGGATTAAGTCCTCCCTGCCAGGAATGACACTTCTTTCACATCTGTCTCTCACCTTGTTCTCAAGATACGGCCTGAGCAGGGCTGGGCTCACTGCAAATGCCAGAGGCTTTGCAGTTGGAGACAGACGAAGAGCTCAGGGAGGAAGGACAGTCCAGAGGAGCTTTGCAGAATAACCCGGCCCTCCAGACATTAAACTGCTGTGCGTGATACAGGCTCATGTCAGGAAACTTGCCCACTTACTACATGACGACGGCCCCGCGAGTGGGTTAGGAACCTGAAAATAACAACAGGAGCTGGGATGCGATTTACTACCACCCCGCAAGCCTGACTCTCTCCATTTTAGATGCATTTGTAAGACCACGAGCAAACTGTTATTCGTGGAGCTCCTGATACGCGCTGGACCCCGGGCTCAGCGATCCAACGGTGCATCTCGGGCAGTCTTCACGGAGTGAAGACGCGTCTCATCCCCTTTCCCGCAGATGGGACAACTGAGGCTCAGAGATGCACCGTTCGCCTGGGGAGAGGTAGCGCCTCCGCTCCTGGTCTTGGGCACACATGCCCTCGATCCTTCCGTGATGCTGTGCTGTCCGTGGCACGCTCAGCCTTTGGCAACTGGATAAAGATTATAAAGACGGCAAGGTGATTCCCATAGTCCCTGTGAGTCTGTCTAGGTGAAACCAGAGAAGACGATTCGCTAAATTTGGGCAGGGCAACCACCTTGAGTTCTTTTCCCCCCTGAATAAATCTTCTGTGTCAAGCTTCGGTCCGTGCAGACCTTAAGAAAGAAGTCTCTCCCCCCGCCCCCCCCCAAAAAAAAGAAGGAAAGAAGTCTCTCCAGGTTGAACTTAGGGTGCGAAAGGATTCTTCGTGTTGGAGAAAAAATGGTATCTCTGCTTAACTTCTCCTTCTAGGTAGGAGCCTAGACTACATGAGCACCTACAAATCCTTGCACTGAATCCTTCCTGTTCCCCAATCCTGGTAACCCCCCTTCCTGCTGCCCTTAAATCCTAGCACTCATTCTTCTTGCCCCCAAATACTGGTACCAGTATCCCTCTTGTCCCCAAATCCTGGCCCCTGTTTCCCTCGCCCCCAAATCCTGGTACCACCATCCCTCCTGTCCTCAAATCCGGGCACCCTCAGCTCCCAGAGCAGAGACAATAACTGCTCACCGCAATTTCCCTACCCAACCCCCAACCATGAAGTGTAATCGTGGTCGCTGTGGGTGAGGCACCTCGTCCCCCTGCCTGAGTCACAGCAGTGATGAGTGGCATGTGTTTCTATAGAAACGAGGGCCCTCAGTTTGATATTCAGTATTTGTCCCTAAAGCACCCCCCCCCCACAGGGTGGGGTGCCCTGTCCCCTGTGTGGGCACAGCAAGACTGCTGGGTAGAATCCCAAATCTGGATCAGACGCTGCAGTTAGAAGCAGGGTATTGGTGGGTCTTCTCTGATCCTCTTATGTAAGAGCATCTTTTTTTTTTTTTTTTTTAATGTTTATTTTTGAGAGAGTACAAGTGGGCGAGGGGCAGAGAGAGAAGGAGACACAGAATCTGAAGCAGGCTCCAGGCACAGAGCCTGATGCGGGGCTCGAACTCATGAACTGTGAGATCATGACCCAAGCTGAAGTCAGACACTCAACCAACTGAGCCACCCAGGCGCCCCAGGAGCATCTTGACTTGGGTGGAGTTTGGCTGGGCCCCTCTCTCCAGGCAGCCGTGTTTACAATCACATCACATGGCCTCTGGTCAGGGCTGATCAAAGGAGGGAGGCTACCTGACCCCAGCCCAGCCAATTACATATCTTTCTGTTAGAAATTTGGGGGGCACCTGGGTGGCTCAGTCGGTTAAGTGTCCAACTCTTGGTTTCAGCTCAGGTCACGATCTCATGGCTCGTGAGTCTGAGCCCCGCGTCCGGCTTTGTGCTGATGGCGTGGAGTCTCCTTGAGATTCTATCTCTCCCTCTCTCTCTGCCCCGCCTGTGTGTCTCTCTCTCCCTCAAAATAAATAAATAAACTTAAAAAAAAAAAAAAGAAATTTGGAATTACTCCATATTGCTAGAAATGGGACACGAAAATGATTCAGGCGGTGGCGGTGGCCATATACGATCCAGCTCAGCTCACAGGCAGGCTGTGTGTGTGCAAGAGAGAGAGAGAGAGAGAGAGAAAGAGAGAGAGAGAAAGAATAAGGAAGAAGTGCCATGAGAAGCAGAGAAGAGAGATGCCAGAGATGTTTGCCATGACCTTGGAGCTTCAGCCCCTCCTGAGGCCTTGCTTCCCAGCCCTGTCTTCTGAAGATGGGCTTCTAGCCACATGATGCCCACCTGCCTCAACCCTCTTTTTGGCTTAAACCCACTCACGTTCATTCCTTCACTCACACCTGAAGGGTCCTAAGACAGATTCAATTAGAAATCAATGATTGACAATCCTCGGTCTTTGTATCCACGTCCACATCCATTGGGAGAAAATTTTTAAAAATGGAAACCTTTTCATTCCCATTCGGTGACCTATAAAATATTCAGACATTGCAAATCATTTTTTAATGATTCTGGTTGCACAGAGAAGAGCCATCTGGCCGAGGGTGGAGAGGGGGATATTTTTTAAATGCCAGCCACTTAGAAGGTGATGAGAAGGTGTCTTAGGAAGTGTCTGCTTGGTGGGGGATGGGCATTAGCTTGCCTCCCAGCGAGGCACCCCTTCCCTTTGGAATACATCTTGGGACCGCACTGGCGGACAAGGGGGCATGTCCTAGGGAGACGGGAAGGACACGGTCAACATCCCATTACCTCCACTGCCCCAGATCTAACACCAAGCTGCAAACCCCGTCTCTGACCTCAGCCTCCGTCCCTCAAGTGGCTCCCTCTGTAGCTCTCAACCTCGTCCAGACCCCTCCACTGACCCTACCTTCCCTTCTTCCTGAAGCCCCCTCCTGTCTGCAGCTGGGATCCCACTCCCCACCGCTGTGATCACTCACTTGGGATCACCCCAACTCTCTCCCTCCTTTGTCTTTGACCAGTGAGCCTGGTCTCACATCTGGTCTCAAGCAACTGGTCCCACTGGAAGGAACCACGCCCCCGGGCAGACCAGTGTCCTCCCCCAAGAAGTCTGACACGAGCCTCACTTTATACCTTCCCCCATCTTTTCAAACCGTCTTCCCTCCCCTGTCCTC